GGACTAGAGACTTTTAAAAAACTGGATCTGGGAATACACAGAATTTGGTACACAGATTGTTACATCACTATAACAACATTTAATTGTTGATTTAAAAAACAAACAAAAAAAAACCCCAGGGAAACCCCTGGTGATACTGAGGTGGGTGGCCTCCACCAGGGGACTTGTGGCAGAGGAACCTGCCACATCATGGAAGACCTATTGCCACAGTGCTATATCAGCAGCCACAACAGCAACAGGGAAGCTACATAAGCCTATCCTATGTCTAGTGACACTCGTCCTACGACTAGTGGCACCACAAGCATTTTTCTAGTAAGCAGGGCTATTTTGGGGCAGAACGCACAGGAACAGAGTTCTGGCTGGCTTCAGAGTTGGCCACGTCCACTACAGCCAAAACCTCTGCGCGCGTGGCTACAGAGGGAAGGCCTGGAGAGCAACCCCCACCCAGTGACTCTGAGGCGGGTGGGCCGGGGCAGCCCTGGAAGGATCGGGGAGGCATTTAAATGCTTCCCCGTGCCTTCCCCAGCTTGTCCAAGGGTTGGCTTGCCTGGGAGCCCCATGGGCAAGCCAAGGGAAGGCAGTTTAAACTGCCTCCCCCTCCCCTCCCCTCCCCTCCAAGGGCTGACTTGCCTGGGGGCAAGCCAAGGAAAGGCATGGGGGTGTGGCCTAATAAGCTAATGAGCGGTGCTATCAGGGGGTGTGGCCTTCCCCAGCTTGTCCAAGGGTTGGCTTGCCTGGGAGCCCCATGGGCAAGCCAAGGGAAGGCAGTTTAAACTGCCTCCCCCTCCCCTCCCCTCCAAGGGCTGGCTTGCCTGGGGGCAAGCCAAGGAAAGGCATGGGGGTGTGGCCTAATAAGCTAATGAGCGGTGCTATCATGGGGTGTGGCCTAATATGCTAATGAGTTTCTGCTGTTAGGTGTGGCCTGTTATGCTAATGAGTTCCTGCTGGGCATTTTCTACAAAAAAAAGCCCTGCTAGTAAGTGACTATCGGACACATGGTCACTTCCATGACACAATTGCACTTGCTTGCAGGAGATCTGAATTTTCTTTGTGGGAAATGTTGCTGACTGAGTGCTGGGATGTCCCCTTATGGAAAGATGCTTGGATAACCTGCAAGAAATGAGCCATTTCGTCTGCTAAAATTATTTAGGAAGTTGTGAGTTTTTACAGAATAACAGTCCAACACTAGAGAGCAGTAGATGCACAGAACAAGCAAAAATAAACCACTGGAACTAGACCTCTCCTACTGAAAGTTCTGATTTTGATTCTTTCAATGAGAAATTTAACATTCAAGGGAGCTTCCTTACCAGAGCACTCCAATAAACAGAAAAAACCTAGTCAATCACAGTGTTTGAGAGACCTTAATTAGACATCACATGCAACTTTCCTCCCTTGTTTAAAGACAGGGTTGCTGGGGCTTGAACTGGTTTGAAAACAAGAGAATGATGCCCTAAGTGTAAGCAGTGTGTTTCACTGAGATATCTCAGTACTTCAGAGAAAGACATCACATTATAGTGCGTTCTGTATTGTTCCTGACATATTCAAATGCATTTATGTAAAAATCTATGTCCTATCTGTCCCACTGAAAAAGGGCCCGAAGAACCTTACAAAAATATACATCAGTATATAAAACTTGTGAGGCTTCCATTTTTCATGTTAGGGAGAGCAAAAGGCCTCAGAAGGTAGGCTGTGCTTTTTGGCCTTTCTGGTAGCCTACGACAGGCTTTAGCCAGTGTTCATCACTGGGCCGCAAGTCAATTACCTTTGTTGTTCCTTTAGATCTTTGTTGGATAGTACAAGAGTAAAGCTAAAATGACACACACACCCCAAAGCTAGGCTAGCTGAGGGATGAGGCAGGTACAGATCGCAAGATGGTGCATGCGTCACACAGGAGCCCTGTCACTTTGGATCTGCCCATGTAATTTAAAATATGTAGGAGAAACAATGCGTGCCATTAAGACACGCATTTGGAGCATAAATCAAGAATCAAACACCAATGTACTGAAGCACCGCTCATACAGCTTTACATGTCTAAGGGCCATATATATGACGAATTTAGATTTGTAGTACTGGAAATAATCAAGAGCAATCCCTACTCCAGACAAGACACACAGAAGATCTTACTACGCAGGGAGGCTTATTGGATGTATAGATTAAACACATGTCATCCTCATGGTTTGAGTCTTTCTTTGGCTCTTTCTAGCTATTTGTAATTGTCTATGAAATTATGGTCGGTTCCTCTATGAAACTTTGTCCCTAGTTCCTAAATGTAAGTAGTTTCAGGATGGGAAATGTAATATTTGTTTCTATTCAGCACTTCTATTCATGTATAAAATGGAAAATGTGTGACACCTGTTAAGGCATTCCATTTGACTGTAACTAGCTGGAAATGAATTTTCTACTAGCAACTGTGCTTTGTTATTGGTAAGTTATTTAAATATTTTGAAAATGTATATTGTATAGGTAGTTCTTACTATAATGATGGTTTGCCAATTTATTCTTTATAGACCTATGAGGAAAAAATATGTGAGCATCAGGCTTCATTTCTGCTTTTATAGATGAGACAAAAAACTGGAAATTATCTGTATGTATAAGCATTTTTATTGTCTTCTACATTAATTAGACTATTTGGATTGGAGTATCTTTGAAGAAAAATCTTGTTTTACATGTTTATTTGTAGATAGAATCTTGTTCAGAAGAAGGACGACAGCCTCAAAAAAATGGTCTCCCAATGGCTTTCCAGGACTTCCTAACTGCCACCGCCTCGATGAATCAAACTCCAGCCCAGAGAAGGCCTGGGCAGCCTGGCAGCTGCCATTCTCTGGTGTTATTGTTTTTAGGGATGGTAAAAGGTAAAGGTTTTTCTGATTTTTGCAGTACTGTATTATTTAGTTTAGCACACTTATCACAGTAACAATCCCTGTAGAGTGTAATATCCATATACTGTGTATCATACTCTGTTTGCTTAAACCTACAGGTGGGGCCTGGAGATTGCCCAGTATTGCAATTGATCTCCAGACAAGGGCAGGGACCTCATAGAGTTTTCCCCTCAGATGGCTGTGGCCCCGCCCCCAGCGTGCCCAGCGTCAGCACGTCACATCCGGCTGACGTGCCGGGGTGGGGTTTCCCCCGGGACCAGATTCTGCGGTGGTGGAAATCGGGCCTCCAAAGCGGGGGGAAATCCGCCCCCTGGGGGGACTTGGCAGGGACCTCAGTGGGGTACAATGCCATAGAGTCCACCCTCCAAAAACATCCATTTTCTCCGGCGGAGCTGACCTCTATCGTCTGGAGGTCCCAACTGGAGTCTGGCATCCTTAACTGCCTGTTAACATGGTTGTGTTGGCAGGGCTGCTCTTGCCACGAAGGAGTGAGAAGTATTTTCTTGAAGCAGTAGATCGTTCTGATCTCCATATCACTTTAAAAAATGTGCTCCAACACGGAGTAGCAGAAGGTGGTGGTGGTGGTGATTTTGACTTTGGTTTCACGTATGGAAACATCTAAGACCAGCTCTGAAATGGAGTCTTACTGGTGACAAAAGGATAAGCAGCAAGGCAGGCAGCTGGGCACACATGAAAGTGCATTTGAGCCTCTTTATTATTTATTGATTACACTGACCTGGATAGCCCAGGATAGCCCAGTCCCGTCAGGTCTCAAAACCTAAGCAGGGTCAGCCTTGGCTAGTATTTGGATGGCCGACCTCCAAGGAATACCAGGGCTGTGACACAGAGGCAGGCAATGGCAAACCACCTTGGAAATGTCTCTTGCCTTAAAAATAAGTCTAGCTCGCCACCTAGTGGTGCATAACGCTAAAAGTGCTAGAACTTCTGTCTGCCAGTCAGTCTTAGGAACTTCTGGCTATTCTACACACAGTGCCATACAATAATAATTATTATTTATTGATTTATTGATCTTCTCACTGGGAACCCAAAGTGGTTTTATAACAGCATTCTCCCCTCCTATGCTGGAGGAGGAGATTGGATTTATACCCCGCCCTTCCCTCTGAGTCTCAAAGCAGTTTACAATCTCCTTCCCTTCCTCTCCCCACAACAGACACCCTGTGAGGTAGGTCAGGCTGAGAGAACAGCTCTTAGAGAGCTTTGACTGACCCAAGGTCACCCAGCAGCTGCATGTGGAGGAGTAGGGAATCAAACCCAGTTCTCCAGATTAGAGTCCGCCACTCTTAACCACTACACCAAACTGGCTGTCAACAACAGCCCTGTGAGGTAGGTCAGGCTGAGGGTATGTGATCAGCCCAAAGTCACCCAGTGAGCTTCCATGGTAGTGTGGGAATTCAAACCTGGTTCTTGTAGATCCTGCTCTGGCACTCAGCTCACTACATCATGCCATTTGTGCACACACATTGACAATGCAGGGCAAAAACAGGTCATCTTTAAACTGAATGCAATTTGACATATGAATTCATAGAGGCAGAAAATGCACTGCAAGCGCTTTAGATGTCCTGGGGAAGCGGTCTAAGATCAAAGGTAAGAACAGCCACATCAGCTGAATTTTCCTCCCTTCCCTGGACACCTTAAAGAGGGAGGAATATTCTCAGGTTCAGAACTTGCGTCTCTCATCTCCCAGACTCCCGTAATGCAATCTGTCACGAAGCTGCAGTTTTTCTGTGTGCTGTTTGAGGGCTGTGCATATCAATTAGGCGATTCATAATTGCCTACCAGAGGTTTAGACTGAGGGCTTTAAGCTGATTCTATTTAATCTTTACATGAATATAAATTTCCATTAATAGCCCTGTCAGGGTCTAGAGGCTTCTGTTACTGTGCAAATAAAGGAATGGAATAAGCCATAGCAGTTGATGTCTTAACAAGTACGTAGGGGTGCTTGAAGATCCTCCCAGATCTGCCACCATCTTCTTAAAGGTCTCCCACTTGCAGCCCCCCCCATGAGTAATTAAATCAGCGGCGTTTAACCCTTAACCCACCACAGCCATCCAATATGCAATGTAACCACTGAATGCCACCCCCAAGAGCCACAAGTAGGGAGGGGCTGTGGCTCATGGGGAGAGCCTCTGCTTTGGATGCAGAAGGTCCCAGGTTCAATCCCTGGCATCTCCAGTTAAAAGGACCAGCCAGTAGGTGATATGAAAGACCTCTGCCTGAGAGTCCCTGGAGAACAGCTACCACTCTGAGTAGACAATACTGACCTGGATGGGCCAATGGTTCGATTCAGTATAAGGCAGCTTCATATGTCTTCATATGTGTTACTGTGAAATATTAGAGCATTAAACCAAACCTTCAGTTAAAAAAGCAACTGTATTTCTATAGGTATGCATATGATATGCAGATCTCAGGCATGCGTGAGACTCTTGTGTGTGTGATGTTCATCAAGTAAAGGTAAAGGTTTCCCTTGCTTGAAAGCCAGTCGAATCCGACTCTAGGGGGTTGGTGCTCATCTCCATTTCCAAGCTGAAGAGCCAGCGCTGTCCAAAGACTTTTCCGTGGTCATGTGGCTGGCATGACTAAAAGGCGAGGCGCACGGAGCGCTTTTAATTTTCCACCGAAGCGGTACCTATGTATGTACTTGCAATGTCTTGCTTTCAAACTGCTAAGTTGGCAGGAGCTGGGGCCAGAGACGGGAGCTCACTCTGTCATGCAGCACTCCGGTCTCAAACTGCCAAGCTATGTTAAGCTTGATTCCTGTTGGCCATTTGCCATCTTTTTAAGGACAAGGGAGGGGAGAAACTGGGGTCTGGGATTTTATATGCCGGGGCAGGTGAGCAGTCTAAACTGGATGAATGATCCAGTCTGTATCAGTGAGGCCGAAAGACCAATATACAGTTATCCATAGGAAACTGATAAGATGGTGCTTCCAGTCCATCTCTTATATTCTAACTACCATCCAGGTCTGTTCATGTGAAAAGGCACAAGGTGGCAACTGTCAGAACCCCATTTGAAGTGGGAAGGCTTCCTAAAATCCATAATGGTTCACATTTGCTTCAGGAAGTTTGGAATGCTCCCCCAGGATGTATAAACTGCCTGGGAGAGGTTGTGTTTGGCCTAGGTGAAGAATAACGGGATTTAATGCTTCCCTACCACCACTGCTGCGGTGGCTCAAGTGGTTAAGACACTGAACTGCAGGCTGTGGAAGGTCAGTAGTTCAGCAGTTCGAGACCCGAGTGTGCCGCATGACGAAGTGAGCTCCCGTCTCTAGTTCCAGCTCCTGCCAACCTAGCAGTTCGAAAGCAAGAAATTGCAAGTAGATAAATAGGTACCACTTTGGTGGGAAGGTGACAGCGCTCCGTGCACCTTGGTGTTTAGTCACGCCGGCCACATGACCACTGAAACGTCTTCGGACAGCGCTGGCTCTTCGGCTTTGAAACGGAGATGAGTACCGCAACCCTAGAGCAAGGGAACCGTTACCTTTACCACCAATGGAGGAGAGGACTTGTCCAGGCACCCCTCCGCGTTTCAGCTACAAATGCAAACCCAGGCAGCCCTTCAGCCCCAGATGTTCCTATGCAAACAACAAATAGACATAGGCTTGCCAACCTCCAGGAAATGGCTGGAGATCTCCCACTATTGCAACTGATCTCCAGGTGGCAAGAGATCTGTTCACCTGGAGAAAATGGCCACTTTGGAAGTCGGACACGATGGCATTATACTCCATTAAAGCCCTTCCCCTCCTGAAACCCCACCCTCCTCAGGCTCCACCCCCAAAATCTCCAGGTATTTCCCAACCCAGAGCTGGCAACCCTAAAATAGACTAAAGGATGCTTCCCCTTATCTCATACTCTCCCCATTCAATGTTGCATTAACAAGCTATAACAAGACATGTTGCTATTCGTAGCTTTTGTTCCACTGTGCCCTGACGTGAATAGCCCATGCTAGCCTGATCTCGTCATATCTCAGAAGCTAAGCAGGGTTGGCCCTGGTCAGTATTTGGATGGGAGACCAACAAGGAAGCTCAGGGTCATGACACAGAGGGCAGGCAAGAGCAAACCACCTCTGAACACCACTTGCCTTGAAACTCCATGGGGTTCCCATAGATTGGCTGCAACATAATGGCAAAAAGCAAAACAAACACAACTTCACTGTGGTGTCCTAAGGGCAGGGGTCATTTCCTGCAGGAGCACACAGGAGTGGAGCTCCGGCAGTAAAGAGCCCAGGGGGTGGGCACATGCAACAAGTCCCACCCCCTGCTCCCAGCAGCCCTCAGTCAGAGCAAGAAGCAGCCAGGTAAGTGGCAGAGCTCCCCCCAGCCCAAAACAGTCCAGTGGCACCTTTAAGACCAAGTTTTATTCAGGTACAAGCTCTCCCTCCTCTGCGAGGGCAGATTTGCACGTTCCTCCCCCCACCCCAATAGCTAGCAATCCAAAACAGTCCAGTGGAGCCTGAGAAGTGGGTGTTGCCTTCTGACACACTTCTGGTGATGTCGGGGGTGGGGTGGGGGTGGCATATGCAAATAAGTTATGCTAATGAGCTCCTGCACCTCTTTTTCTATGAAATGACCCCTGCCTAAGGGTGATTCTACAATATGAGACCAGAACCACAGGGCCAGGGAAAGACCCCAACACGAATTGGTCCCTTGTTCTCCCCTGCCTGCGACTGCTGCCCTTTCCATATTCCTTGTTGTTACTTAGTGACAGGTATGGAGAGATGCCAGTTCCAATTAGTTAACTTAATTGGCATTGTACAAAAATTAAGTAATTGGGTGCTTGTAGTCATGCAGAAAAGTTTCCAGACATGCTGGGGACTGGGAAAGCAAATCAGATTTTAAATAGATGCCTTGTGCGTGGCTTGCTGTGTCAAGCAGATGGATAAATAGCTATTCTTACCATTCTAATAAGGTATGTGTTAATTATTAATTGGGGGCCTCTAATGGAGTGAAATGAGCAAGGATCTTGGTGCCAATGTTACCCAGTCCCTAAAATATAAATATCACAGCTGATGCAGGTTCACGTGAAAAGGTGAAAGATAGCAGCCGTTCGTTTGAATCACAGATGTGGAAATGCAAAAAAGGAGCTGCTAATGTCATATGTGTGGAAATGGCATAACATCAGGGGTAAGAAGAACACCACACTGGCTGGGTATGTCTGGCTACTTGCAGATGTTGCTCAAATGACTAATTTCCAGAAGAAATATATATGGTTGCTGTTTCTAGGTTTTGATGGTTAATGCAATCCTTTGCCAATTTACCCCACCTATGTGGGTGTTAAGAGCCATCAACTAATGAGTTATGCTAATGAGTTCCCCTAGCTCTTTTTCTACGAAACGACCCCTGCTGGCTGGGTATGTCTGGCTACTTGCAGATGTTGCTCAAATGACTAATTCCCAGAAGAAATAAATATTGTTGCTGTTTCTAGGTTTTGATGGTTAATGCAATCCTTTGCCAATTTACCCCAGCTATGTGGGTGTTAAGAGCCATCAAGTCACTTCCAACCTATAGTGACCCTATCAATCAATTAATGTCCTCCTAAATATCTGTTATGTACTGGGATTGAATCGTCCCTGATTGAGTCACCCCAAAGACTGGCTGAGCTTGGAACACAAGAACAATAGCCTACCAGGACTCTGAAAGTAACCAATCTAGTAGTAATGTTATGTAAATAGCCTATCACTGGGAGTGGGGTGTGTTTGGGTGTGGCAATTGCATGATATTTAACAGAGCTGAGGCTCTGGAGTCTTGTCTTGCTCTTGCTGAAATCACAAATAAAGTTGAGCTGATCACTAGACTCCAGCCTGCTCATCCAGGGAACCCACTATTTAACAATATCCTATTGTTAACAGCCTTGCTCAGGTCTTGCAAACTGAAGGCTGTGGTTTCCATTATTGGGTGACTCTGCATTGGCTTTTCCCTCCATTGTTTTACCAAACCCACATTGGAACAGAAATCCCCTTCTGCATTGCATGCCGCTTTCACTTTCTTTGATCATCGGGTTTTATGGTACCTCCTGCGTAGATTTATGGCTGTTCCCAGTCAGTACGGCATTGCCCCCGGGTATCTGAATGTGGTTTTGAACTGCACCTTGGGTAAAAAAAAACGGAGGGAAAAGCCAATGCAGAATCGCCCATTGAGTCAATCCATCTCCTGATGTTGGGTCTTCCTCTTTTCCTGCTACCTCCATTTTTTTTCCTTTGGGTCCTAGTTTTTCCTTTGCTCCATTTCCCCCCCTAGCATTATTGTATTTTCCAGTGATTCTTGCTTTCTCATAATGTGACCAAAGTACAATAGACTCGGTTTTGTCATTTTATAAAGAGAAAAGAGATTTCTTCTTCTGATTTCTTTAACAGAAGCTTGGAGAAGGTGACCTCTGCTGAGGAGAGGCAGCAGATGTTATAGCCTAAAGACAGGAGTTAATGTGGTTTGGGAGAAAAACCGACAGAGGAAGCTACATCCCAGTACTGCTAGCTGGAAACAGGGATGCCAGCCTCCAGATGGGACCTGGAGATCCCCCGGAATTACAGCTCATCTCCAGCTGTAATTCCCCTGGATCAGTTCCCCTGGAGAAAATGGTTGCTTTGGAGGGCGGACTCTATGGCAGTGTACCCCCCCCTGAGGTCCCTGTCCTCCCCAGGCTCCATCCCCAAATTTCCAGGAGTTTCCCAACTTGGATTTGGCAACCCTAGCTTGAAGAACTGGGTATCTCTGGCCCCGGTCACACGGAGCATTTGCCCCGCTGAAGGCATGGTACTCCGGCGGATTTTCCGGGCGCGATCTCACCGGAACATCTGGGAGGCGTAGCACTCCCGTAGCCAACCCATGGCAAGCCGCCGAAGCCGCATAGTTAAAAGCTACCAGGATCCAGCTACCAGCAAATGGTTTGCCATGGGCTGACTCCGGACTCTTGTGCTGTGATCACGCCAGCGTCCTCTTTGCTGCGCACGCCGACAGTGGAAGCATCGGTGTGCCGCCATCAAGTCTGATCGCCTCATTGTGCATCAGATTGTGATGGCGCAAAGAGCCACGCCTCCCCACCCCCCGGGTTTTCTGGCCGGTGTGACCGGTGCCTCTCTCTCTCTCTCCCTTTCTGGGGTACAAATTGAGTACATTAAGTAGAGCCTTTTTAGGTCCACATGTGTTCCTTCCTAGTATTTTTGTAAATAAAATGAATATT